AAATTGCTTTTGGTAGTATTGCCATTTTCACAACATTGAGTCTTCCTATCCATGAGCAAGGGATATTCTTCCACTTTTCAAGATCTCTTTTTGTTTTTTGTAGTAATGTTTTGTAATTTTCTTGGAAAAGGTCCTTTTCAGAGGCAGTAAATCACACAAGAGAAGATTGTCCATCCCTCAGCTTGTGGATTTGAACTGCCTGCATTTGAGATTGTCATGTAACTGCTTACCACTAGGTCATCAGAACATCAGAACATGTGCTATAGACAAGGAAATATTTAAAGCCTTTATCAACCACACTGGCCTGGGCACCGGCAGTGATGATTGACTTTGACAAATTCCCTGAAGCACTGCCGTGGAGAATCCCTGCTAAACTTAGTATTAATTCATTGGTTGATGCTTCTTTGGATGGTTCAGGGTTCCTAGGTCAGGGATCTTGTAACTATGGAGGAGATATGCTGAGAGTAGAGGGGAAGACTCAGACCAGCAGTTAATTCACAATCAGGTAAATTAGCATTTTTTCATTAAGAACTGGTATATCTGTAGTATTAATCATACTAATTTCAAAGAAAGAAAACCTAAGGCATCACAAGATTAAGATATTTGACTGAAGTGACTGTAAACGGCACAGGTGAAATTTGAGGTCCTGTCATTCTGATTTTAAATATGGGGTTTCTTTGTTATTTTACTTACCATTTGAGAGGTATTCTTTATATTTGTTCACAATAGTAATTTCTACAGCTATTCACTGCAGCCTTCAATATGGATTGCATCATAACATGAAGAAAACAAAAATCCGTGCCAATAGACCAATAGACAACATCATGATAGATGGAGGAAAGATTGAAACTGTCAACAACTTCATCTTACTTGAATCAATCAATACACTTGGTTCTAGTGGTCAGGAGATATATTGCATTGGAAAACTCTGTAGTTAGTTACCTCTCCAAATTACAAAGGAGCAATGATGTTAGGTTGAGGTCTAAGGTGTGCCTGATTTAAGCCATGGTCTTTTCAGTTACTTGCTATGCATCTGAGAGTTGGAGACTGAATGAGGATGACAAGAAGAATTGGTGCCTTTGAACTGTTGTATTGGAGAAGAGTATTGAATATCCCATGGTATGCTAAAAGAACAATCAGATATGTCTTAGAGAAGGTGCAGCCAGAGCGCTCCATGAAGGCAGAGATAATGAAGCTCCATCTCACATACTTTGGGTATGTTGCTAAGTTATTCCTTGGAGAAGGACATCATGCTTGGAAAGGTAGAGGGACAGTGAATGAGAGGAAGATCCTAAACCAGATGGACTGACACAGTGACTGTAGCAACGGGCTCAAGTGTGTCAGAGATTGTGAAGATGGCACAGGATAGGACAATGTCAGATCTGTCATTCATAGGGTCCCTGTGAGTTGTACTTGACTCAATAGCACCTAACAACATATCTATTCATTAGTGAACTAACTTCATTTTCACAACGTGCTCTGTAGATAGATAGTATGATCAATTCTACTTTACTCATGACAAAAAAGAGAAAGTCATTTGTCCAAGATCACACAGTCAGTAAATGATAAAGTGAGAATTTGAATGCTGCCTGACTCCAGAACTCACTTATTTAAGGACTGGTAAATAGTATTTTCCTTGTTTAGTTGTTTTCAAGTACCCAGAATCAACCTTTGTCTTTATCAATTTTCTCTATTACTATTTGGTTTACATTAATTTGTGCTCTATTTTATTCTTCTTCTTCTTTTGTTATTGTTTTTGGTTGGGTTTGTTGTTTTGTTTTTTTGTGGGTTTTTTTTTTTTTTTTCAATTTACTGGAGTGGAGAGAGTTTCTCTCAAGGTGGAAACTTAGATCACTTTTTTCCCCTAATATATGCATTTAAAATATGTTTCCTTCTGAGTTTCAGCTCTCCTAAAATTTGATAAGTCACACTTTCATTATCTTTTAATTCAAGATATTTCTTTTCTGGCCTGTGAGTATTTAGCAGTGTGCCGATAACATCCAAACATTTGAGTGTTTACTACATTCAATACTTACACCTTAGAGAATATATGACAGAAAATCAAAAAAGAGAAAAAATTCAAGAGAAGCACGACAAGAAAATCAACAAAACCCAAAGTCACTTCTTTGAAAGATTAATAAATCTGATAAATGTTTAGTAAGACTGATCAAGGAAAAAATATATAAAAGTCAAGTATCAATATCATAAATGTAAAGTATCAGTAGATATTTTTTCTTTTCTTTTTTATTAATTTTAATGAAAGTTTACAGAGACTTAGGGTTTCCAGGCATTCACTGTTGCACTTTTCTCCCTGTCCACCCCCTCCACACTCTTCTCCTTGAAAAGTAAAACTCTTTCATTGTTATGCAATCCCTCTCCCTAAGTCCACTCTACTATGCAGCCTTCACTCTGGACTTTTGCAAAGACAAGAATACCCATTCATAATCCCTTTCAAACAGTTCTCTCCCTCATCTGTTTCAATGGAATAGACATCATTCCTCCCCTTCTTTTCTGTTTTCTCTCAACCCTAATGTCAGTCCTATTTTACAACAGTGGTCCTATGTAATATTTGTCTTTTTGTGACTGAGATATTTCACTCAGCATAATGTCCTCCAGGGTCACCCATTTTGCATAATATTTCATGAGTTCCTTCTTTTTCAATGCTACATAGTATTCCATTGTGTGAATATACCAGAGCTACTCTATCCATTGTTGGTGGGTACTTGGGTTGTTTCTAGCTCTTTGCTATTGTGAAAAAGCTGCAATAAACATGGGTGTTCATATATCTGCTTGGGTGGAGGTTAGGTTTCTTTAGGGTAAATTCCCAGTAGTGGAATTGCTGGGTCAAATGGTATTTCTATTTGCAACTTTTTGAGAAAGCCCCACACCGCCTTCCATAGTGGTTGGACCATTTTACACTCCCACCAACAGTGAGTAAGGGTTCCAGTTTCTCCACAACCAGCATTTGATGTTTGTTGTTCTGTTAAATTTTGCTGTTCTTACTGGGGTGAGATGATATCTCATAGTTGTTTTGATTTGCATCTCTCTTAGAGCTAGAGATTTTGAACATTTTTTCATGTGTTTGTTTGCCATCTGAATGTCTGCTTTAGTGAAGTGTCTGTTCATATCCTGTGCCCATTTTTCAAATGGGTTTGTTGTTTTGTGTTTTTTTTTTTTACCTTTATCTTGTTGTGGTGCTCGATTATTTTATAAATTCTAGATATAAGTCCCTTGTCGGACATGTCATTACCAAATATTTTTTCCCAATCTGTGGCTTCCCTTTTCACCCTGTTGAAGAAGGTTTTACATTTAGAAGTTTAGACATTTTTTAAGATTAAACAGGTAAGTTTGAAACATATATAAAAATCTATAAATTCCTTATAATATACAACTTATCAAAAACACAGTATGAAATTGAAAATATGAATAAGCCTATGTCATTTCAGAAGGACACTTGATGGTATAGTGGATGAAGTGTTGGGCTGCTCACCAAAAGATTAGTAGTTCAAATCAACCAATGGCTGAAGGGGGGCGGGGGCGGGTAAGATGTGACAGCTGCTCCCATAATGAGTTCCCGTCATGGAAACCTTATGGGCAGCTCTATTCTGCCCTGTAAGTTTCTGTGAGTTGAAATCACAACGGCAGTGGGTATATCTGGTTTGTGAAAAAAATTAATCTATGAGATAACACTTTCCTATGGTAATCGGGATGGGTGTGTCAGAGACAGTGTGATTGGCACAGGACAGAGCAGGGTTTAGGGCTGTTGTACATAAGGTCACTATGAGTCGCAAGCGACTCAATGGCACATAACAACAATAACAAGAACATAGGGAAAAAAGCAGGCTACACTGGCAAATTCTTCCAAACTTTTTGGGAAGAAATAACACTAATCTCGTACAATCTCAGAGGCTAGAGAAAGAAAGCAACTTCTCAACTTGATTTATGAGGTGAGCATAACTATAATACAGAATTTGACAAGGCTATTACTTGTAATAAGTTAAAAAATATTTCAGCCTAATATATTATTTTGAATAGACATAAAAAAAATCAAATCCAGCAATATATTTTAAAACACATCATAAATAAATGGAGTTTATTCCAGAAACGTAAAGTGGGTTGAACAGTGAAAAATTCATCTGTATAATTAATCACATTAATAGACTATAAAGAAAAACCACCTGACCGTCTCAGCAGATGGAGAAAAAATCTTTTATAAAATGCCATTGCCCAGAGCTGCTTTGCAATATTCACAATTTTTCTGTAAAATTTGTTTCTTCTAAATGCCTCATTAAGGCCACAGAAGGCACTTCTTGCCTCAAGTTTGCTCACTTCCCGAACTCCACCCCCTGCTCTTTGTCTCTTATTGCCTTGCCGAGTTCTTTTCTTTTTCTTTTTTTTAATTATTATTGTAACATGTTGCCAGGAGGGACGGGTCCTTGGAGAGGGACATCATGCTTGGGAGGGTGGAGGGATGGCGCAGGAGGGGAAGACCCTCTATGAGATGGATTGATCCGGTGACTGGGGTAATCGGGATGGGTGTGTCAGAGGCAGTGCGGTTGGCGCAGGATAGAGCAGGGTTTAGGGCTGTTGTGCATAGGGTCCCTATGAGTCGCAAACGACTCGACGGCACATAACAACAACAACAACGAAAGTTTACAGAAAACTTGGATTTCTATTCATTCATTGTTGCACATTTTCCTCCCTAGACCCCCAGTTCACTTCTCTCTTTTAAAAAATTCTTCCATTGTTGAACAATTCCACCCCCACTCCATTATATTGAGTGAAATATCTCAGTAACAAAAGGACAAATACTGCAGAGTTCTTTTCTGCAGTGGAAACTCAAACTGGAGGTTTGCTCCCTAAAAATACAAAGTTTGAAGAACTTGAGAGTTCTAACTTTTTCTCTCTCTTTCTTTCCCAGGATGATAACATCATGAGGTCTCTCCAGCTGTTCCAAAATGTCATGTGACTGGGGACGCACCACCATCCAACTCTCAGAGACGTTGCACTGAAGAACTACGTTAGCTACCCTGATCTGCCCTTTTCTGACTTTACACACCGACTCTTGGGACAGAAACACCTTTTAACCACTCTGAAAGTGTTCTCTGCTGAAGACTTTCTATGGAACCCAGCATAGCCTGGCACAGTCTCTGATTGTCAAGCCTCCTCCCTCTTCTGGAGAGACATGATGAAACTTGAGTTTGTTTTGGAAGCATGCTCATCTTTTCACACTGCTGCCCTATGGAAAGTCCCTCTGCTTGAGCTTGAACTGTAGTGCACGATGTTCTGTTTGTGTGCCCCTGGCCCACTGCCTCCAAGCCCAGAGACCTCAAAGTGTCTGAAAGCGAGAAGATCTGAGGCAGATGCACATGGCCCTCTGATGGCCTCCTGAACCAATGTGCCTGTTTCTCTTCCTTTGATAGGAAGAATTAGCGTTCTACAGAACAATTAGCACCAACCACGCTAGTCCTAGACCGGGAGAGCCAGCACTTAAGTACGCAGGATAAGACTGATGTGTTAAGCACGGCATTGTCTGATGATCCAAATTGCCCAAATCCTTTCTTTCCAGAGGAAAGGGCCCAAAACTCTCTTTCTCATTAGCATCTGTGCTATTAGAGCAAGTTCCTTAACATGCCAGGGAGGGAGTCATTGTCCTGTGGTCCATGCCTCCCCAGCCCCTGCTAGAGTCCAGCACTGCATGTTCCTCCCAGAAAGCCCAGAATGCCTACAGGTTGCTGTCATTTTCTCCATGTTCTAATCAATAAACAGAACTATTTCTTACACTTGTAATCTTTCTTTCTTGAACACTCCTGACAAAGAGGTAAACTGGGAAGAGGGGAGGCTAAACCATTTATATGTTGTTGTTGTTGTTATGTGCCTTCGAGTTGTCTGCAACTCATAGCAACCCTATATACAACAGCCCTAAACCCTGCACTATCCTGTGCCAATCTCACTATCTCCAATACACCTACTACCATTACTCCGGTCACTGAATCAATCCACCTCATAGAGAGTCTTCCTTACTGGGTGTCAGGGACCATGCCAGGCATTGGAATCACCCACTCTGGCTCCCAAGTCACCCCAAGAAACATGCAATTCAAATACAAATAGTGCAAATATTAATTCATGGAAAGACCTTAATAACACCAAGAAAAATTGCAACTGCCAAGATCCTCTACTATAGAAAATCTGGAGCTTCGGGTGGCATGGGTGAAAACACAGAGCTGACCAGGAGGAAAGGACGTCCTGCTGAGGGACTTGACCATCAGGACTTGACTAAGTGACTTCAGTCTTTATGTTAAAAGCAAATGTCAGTTTAATTGAATACTTTGGGTCTTACTTACCTCATATAACATCGTATTTTTAAAAATTTTATTTTATTTTATTATTATTTTGTGTGCATGCAACATCAA